CCAGAATTTTCTGTTTGTATGAACTAAAACCATGTACTGTTCACAGTCCCGCTGGCATCAGCTGTGTAGTGACCAAATGCTTCCCAGCTGTGTCCGTCTTCACACTGGTAGGAGGCATGGACAGTCAGCTGGAAACCAGGGGGGACCTTCTGTACCAGGATCACAAACTTTTCATCCATGAGTCCTCTGGATGGATGAACTGACAGACTCACACAAAACTGCTTCTTGTCCATTATGAACTGAGACAAATAAAAGAAGATGGGAAAGAAAAAATAGGGAATGCTGGGTAAAAAACAACAACTCCAAAAAAACACTAGTGTTGGTAGAGCATATAAATGTATGAATAAAGAAGCTGTATAATTACAATCAGTGCCTCGGCTTCCACTTGGACTGCCAACCAAGGACTTCTTTTAATAACTTACAGGACTGTCATATAAACTGATTGTGACACTGATTGAGACTAATTGTCCACCTTCATTCAGTTTGTTGCTCAGCAGCTAGCAGTTGGTATACAACTGTGTTTAACTAATGGGCTGCTACTTGGATCGGTCAATCTGACAATCTTATATCGTAAACATATGCATATGATTTGCCCATCAGAAGAGTCACACAGGTCAAAGGTGCTATATGTGTGTGCTTTATTTTGGAAGACTGATTTGTCTTTGTCGACTTGTTTGATTGAATACGCAACCGAGGAGGAGGGCGAATGCAGTGCATCGACTGACACAGTAGGGCTGGACCCAAATATCAGAATATTCGGTCATTGTGGTGGTGGCCACATAGCAATTTTGAGATCTGAACATTTGCCCGCCACCCGCCGGTACCCTCCCTCCCTGCCGCCACCACCACCATCGCCCGATGGTGGAAACAGAACTGTGCCCGCAATCCTAAATTGGCATTAGCAGCCAAGTACTGCCTGTGCATCCCGCTCACTTCCACCCCGTCGGTCGGAATATTCACCCACCGCTATATACGCCCCCCAAAAGACGTGGTGGTGACATCAAAGAAACTGGCTGCAAAGTTTTATGTTGCAATGCAACTCTACTATACTTTTGTGGATACTATGCATTGTTATGCTCAGGATTTCCATTTGAAATGCCTTTTGATTAAACAAATTTTCAGCAAGCAATTTACAACTTATGCACTATTGATTTTGGTACACAGCTTTAATGCACATCAAAAACAGCTGCTTGCAAAATGGAAAAGAAATTGTTGGGTTTTTTTTTATTTGCACCAATAAAGTTGTGCAGTTTTTAAGTATGGTAACACTTTATTTGAAGGGGTGTACATAAGACTGACATTACACTGTCATTATCGTGACATGACACCTGTCATTAACATGAACAACGCTTCATAAAGGCTGTCATTAAGTGTCATTTGGTAAATAATGACACCTTTTGGACTCGGTTAGCACTGTTTGTCATGACAACTTGACATAAGGAGAGGGACAAATGGTCAACTATTGTCTTTGTTATGAAATGAAATGAAAGAAATGAAAAATACTTTATTTATCCCAGAAGGGAAATTCAATATGACAACATTATGACAATTTGACCAGAGACAACAAGGGACAAATTATCCCCCAAATTTTTCATTATGACACTTGACATTAACATGTCATAACAAACTCCATCGTCAGATGTAAAGACACAATTTAGCGGTGTCTATTAACTTTGTATTGATCTATCATACCTGGTTGGAACTGACATTAACGGTCATAAGACATTTAAATGACCTATATCCTTGACCTGAAGTAAAGTGAAACATTTTGAACCAGTTATGAAGATGTCATTAAGTGTTATGATGCTGTCAGATAATATTATAATAGTTAAATGGCCTATATCCTTGACCTGAAGTAAAGTGAAACATTTTGAACCAGTTATGAAGATGTCATTAAGTGTTATGATGCTGTAAAATAAAATCATATTAATCATATAATGCAATCAAGCAACAGTAAATCCAACAAATAGTTATCCTTTTATTTTTTAA